TAGTCAAAAATTATCTATAAATGAAAATAGTAATTAGAACCAGAAAATAACTTCTCTTCCCTGCAACATACCTGTACTCTTCCCATATTTTAACAAAATTCTGTTTTTAAAAAATGATTTCAACTAAAAACTGCTTAGCTCTCTTCTTAGTCCCTACATTTCAAACTGGAAACAAATTTTACAAAAGCTTATAGTATGTAGGAGTCAGCTTCTTCCTCTAATCTAGTTGCAATATGAATGTAATCAGTTTATCCTACTCTTTCTGAAGCAGGAAGATTAGTTTTGCCTTTTTCTTGAATTCCTACAGGACTAGCAAGAACAAAGACTCTCCTCTCTCCCATGTCTATTCACAACATCTAATTAAATAATGTGACTTACATTGGTTTAATCATCATCTCTTGCTTGTGGAAAACTGAACCAAAAAGCAGTCATAAAACTTTGAAAGTATTTTTGTTGTTTCTTGAATATATATATAAAAATAACCATTTCCCTATAACCCTTTTTTGTTGGTAATAGCTTCATTGAGGTATAATTCACATATTATATCATTCATCCATTTAAAGTGTACAATTCAATGGTTTTTAATACATTCACAGAGTTGTAACCATCACTACAATCTATTTCAGAACATTTTTACCAAAATTTTTTTTCTCAAAAAGAAATCCTATATCCTCTAGCTATCATCCCCCATCTTTCATCTTCCCCAGCCCTAAGCAACCACTAATCTACTCTGTGTCTCTACAGATTTGCTTATTCTTGACATTTCATACAAATGGAATCACATAATGTGGTCTTTCCTATTATCTTTAATTAATTTGATTTGTAGCTTCCTATATTTCAGAGTAGAACAAGAATACTGCAAATTCTGTTAGGTTCTCTATAATTCATAGAAATATGAATATAAGTTATATATTGCAGAAGTTACCTTATTTTTGAGACAGTTAGACTATATATCTGAATATATTGTATTATCTCATCCAAAAGGCGATCAGTCATGCTATCAAAATCAGCAAAAGTGTCATTCTAAACAAAAGCAAAACAGACACATTATATACTGAAATATGTATAATCACATGAAAAACTAACTGAATTATAAACTTTATTTTTAATTTAGGTACTGAAAATATGGTGAAATTCACTGTTTTCTAGAGAAGTTAGTGAATATAATATTCATTATATTGAAATGAGCAAAAAGAGTGAGTTTCTAGGGAGAAAAAAGTTTAGTGTTCTTAATAACATTTGCTGCATTTAGTTATTTGTTTAGTCCACTACTGGTATTAAACATAAGTCTATTTAAAATGGTTTAGTAAATGAAATATTTGTATAGAAATGTGAAATTCTCAAAGTGTTTCATATGTGAAGAGAAGAGCTTATAAGTCAAAATGTAAATCATATATATTCCCTTTGGATATGCATTTATGTTAAATTTCATAGAAATCAGAAAAATCATTTCTACTAGTACAGGTATTTTGTAATAAGCAAATATTTAGGTCAAAGCTGGTATAAAAATGTTTATTTCCACTGAAAACACTATCATATTGTACCTGATTTCTCTCAGACATAAGAAAATCAATTCTTCCCCCAGGCAGTCCAAGTTCAATATAAGTTTTTACTAATCGAAGATCTGCACTGTTACCTAGAAAATGAAAAATGATGTTTAAAGAATGAGATAAAAGTAAAAGGTACGAAGTACACCATTATATATTTTATAGTTTTTGAAGGTAAGTTTATGCCATTCATGAGTAGACAATGTGCTCTGCGATAACAGTTCTCAATTTTTAATGTCAAAGTTGACATCCATTAGCCAGGCAATGTTTTTCAA